CGGCAACGGAGATACACACGTGAGCGATGTGTGTGTGCGCGTGTATGTGCGGTATGTATGTGTGTGTATGTGTGTGGTAGTAATTCGGTAGCATTAGTAGCGATAATAGTTGCAGTAGTAGCTCCGTGCGACAGAACGTACACGATGTCTTCCTTCGCGGCACGTTTAACGCTAAACGCGCGATCGTCTTATTTTTCTCTTCTTTCTTTCTTTTCTATATTTGCTCGAGATACGAAGATTCCGCTCACGAAGGTCAACGTCAGTCACACGTCGTGGCAAACCGGGCAACCGAGATTTGAGCGAGCGCTAATTAATAGCTTAATTAAGAGACCCTCGCCTGTGTCACCCTGTGTATCTCCTTTCCCGCCTGTTTATCACTATTTCCTAGCAAGTGTCGTTTTCTCGCGAGTGTGTGCCGCCCGAGACCGCGGAACTGCGTCTCGACTCCCCGAATTTCCCCTCTCCCTTTGTTTTTTTTTTTTTTTTTTCATTTTCGTACGCGACGGTTTCGCCCGGGTGGCCGATTTTTCCACGACGGCGTCGCGACGCGCCCTCTCGGATTCACTTCTGTCCCCCTTTGTCCCCATTTAACCGCAAACACGGCCGGTCGGCCGTTATTTATTTATTTATTCTTTTTTTTTACACATACGCTCGTACTTATTGATTACATGACGCGCATGGTGAGTTAGAAAATTACGCTAGATCGGAGGACGTCCCGGGTGAATCTCCCGTCGATCGGTCGCGCCGCCTCGAAATCGCCGGTGGTCGCACGATGTCGAACGTTTCAGCGATTCTGCGAGGCTCGTTTACACAGCACGCGCGCGCAGTTTCGACCCTGAACATTTTTTTGTCTATATCTTGTTTCCCATATCGACTGATCGGCTCGTGTCAGTTTCGCGAGTGAGATCCGCGCATTCAAGCTCCGAACGGAAAATCTGCTCTCTCTAAAGTGCTGTCAGTATATTCTTCACTGAAATAATATACCTGTGATCGGTGGTTCAGTTGGAAGCACAGCACTGCAGTCAATAAAATCTCACTGAGAGAATCAGTTAATAATGGCGACTGTTTGTTCATTGTTGATACACTTTGCCAACATTGAAGCCGTTAATTCCATCGTCAAAAATACAGGAAGTTCAGGGGCATAATATGGACTTTGATGAAAATATACTACTGTAATGAAATAAAGGGAAAGAGAACCATAAAGTAAACATGGCATGAAAATTGTAATTGCTGAAAGAGAAGGGAGAGAGAGGAGATTGTATAATGTTAAAAACAAAACGTTTCATTCCTATCTTGCAACCTTTTCAGCGATAGGATCAAGATAGGATCAAAACGATTGGTTTAATTCTCACTTGAAGCAAATAAACTCCTTAAAAGCAGAAAGTTGAATTGAAACAATATGACGAATTTATGATAACTGAATTAGATGTGATTCACCAGTAAAGTCTCATTTCTACCCGTCAAAATTAGTGAGACGCAAGACGGAGCAGTGAAGATCATCCCACAATTGCGTAAACGTGGTCATGAACGTAAGAGCCAACCAATAGAATGTTTTATTCATTAATTGCTTTATTCTGATTGGTCGCTGAGAACACTTACAATTACTTACGATCACGCTTACGCAATTGTAGAATGGTCTTAAAGGGGGAGTATTTTTACTAAAAATCTCATTCATTGTTTACTGGACTTGGTGAAAGTCCTCTCTCGCTAATTCAATCAGAAGCACAATGACTGATTCACCTCAGGAGAGCGGCAGAAGATCTCTGTTCTTCATTTTTCCTTTCTTTCTTTTTTTTTTTTTTTTTTTTTTTTTTGAAAACCGACGAAAATCTAACGCACGATTAAACAAAGCTCGCGCGAACGAGTTATATCAAACCGACCGAACAAATTGCATAATTATTTGTTGAATCGACGATTATACAAATTAATTGATTCAACGGTCGCGTTTATTGGTGTAAGCGCGTAGACAAACTGTATTCGCTGCGTCGTCGTGTAATCTGTGTTCAATGAATTTCATATTTGCGGCCGTGCCGCCGTACAGGTGCGTGTGCGAATTATGCCGCGCGGAAGTGCAGCTGCGCGATTTTATAAACAATATCCACGACACAGTTCGGCGCGCGCGCGCGCGCGATGCGAACGGGCCCCGCAGTGTGAGTGAGTGTGTAAGAGTTGCCTTTTGCTCTCGCGAAATTTTACTCGCGTATTCGTTGTGCTCGAAATTGCTTCGCTCGCGCCGCGCGCACCTCGTCCTGTCGTCGTCCCCCTCGCGTGTGCGTGCCGAGGATCATGTGTATCACAATGTCGTTCGTTCGTTCGTTCGTTCCTCGCTGCGCTCGTGCTCCGCGGGCGCGCAAAACCTACGTCGCGCGAAATGATTGTCGGCAATGATGATCGGTGATCAGCGGAACCGCTCCCGGGTTAACGATTCGCGGTGATTCTCGTTTGATTTGATTTGCTCGCTCCTTCCCGCGCCGGTGGATCGCTCTCGGTACGCGAGATTCCTGTTCTCTTTCCCATTCGTTTTGCTTTGCTTTGGCGGGAAGGGGCACGTCGTCCCCTCGATCCCTTGGAGCGATCGACGATCTCGATCGGCGCGCGATCGACCATCGTCGACGATCCAGCAACGCGTCGAAGCGGAGTTTTCTTTCGCGTGCGGATTTACGTTCGCGTCGCTCTCGTATTCTCTTATTAAGCGATTCGTCGTGGATGTGCATTCGTGTGTATGTTTGTATGTGTGTGTGCGCGCGCATAGGTTAGATGTATGTATGTGTGTACTTAGCCGATGACATTGTCGCTCGTGTACCAACTAGACAGCTACAATGCACACGCACTCACTTTCTCTCTCTCTCTCTCTCTCTCTCTCTCTCTCACGTTCCACGCCACGCTTTTTTCTCTCCTATGTACATATTTTTTTTTAGTGAGTATTTAGTCGGAACACTTCAATGTTATTCATTATTATATTTCTTCTTGATCTCGCGTCGCGCGCTTGAACGTTTTATGCTACTCTGTCATTCCGTACAGCTTCGTTAAACGAGGAGAGGGAGATGGGAGGGAGAGCGGACTCTTAACAACGGGGATTTTCGGTAATGTCTCGGAACCTTCGACGACCGTGACGACGGGAATTCTCGTCTCGCGCTGCTCGAGTCGCCTCGTTAATTGCGCCAATTTTTACGTACACGTCGGGCTAACTGCGGGCTAATTGGCTGATTTTGCGACCGAAGAGAACGGCTTGAATCGAAAAGAGGGAGAAATGAAGGGAGCGCTGAGATGTTTTCAACAGCACGCGGAGCGTGTGTTGCGCGAGGAAATAGAATTCTCGAGGAAAGAAAAAAAAGAGTCCTCCGGAGAAACAAACCACCAAGAATTAAGTGCTCCATTAAGTATTACAAAGGCCTTTGCGAAGTAATATTAACTATCCGCTATTTTTACCCACATGGCCGCTGAGACCTTGAATGTTCATCTGTCTTACGCATATCGCCGTCTGTGTAATTTCTCTCCGAGGTTAGCAACGCACGGGCGCTAAAAAGTGCGCGACAGGATCGAAAGCTTCCGCAAATAGCGTGTGCAGGAGCTGTTGCGAATCGACGCGACGCGAAACCGCGACCCAGCACGAGACCAACAGAGTAAAATTGATCAGCAATTGATGGGGCAAATAGCCCGGAGACTCAGCGACACGACAATTCCGCGAAACTCGCTCGAAACCAAACGAAATATCGAGAGAATTTGCAGAAACCCACGTGACCGCGCGCGCTGACGGGCGGATCCGTGACTCGGTACAGTAATTAGCCGCGCGCTACATGAGAAAAAGACTCACCTGACGAGTTTATGCTAATGAGAGCTCGGGAGAGAACTGCCGGCGTTCCGAGAATCGATTGTTTGATTAAACTCGCCGTCGCGCACGTTACTTTTTCTTGTAACACCGATATCGACGGCAGCGTCCGCGGATTGTGACAGGAGGATCGCGATTGTACGAATAATGGCAAATTAATCCTACAAATCTCTTATTTCGAAATTATTTAAATTTGTTTTTCTCAATATTCTACTTTATTTAGATTTAGATAGAGAGAAGAGAGCGAGAGAGAGAGAGAGAGAGAGAGAGAGGGAGAGAGAATTATAAGTAAATATTAAATAAGTTAATAAAAATTAGTGGGTAAAAATATAATTATAGGTAGTTAAAGGAATGTTAAAAACTTTATTGGCAGACTATTGACATTTTTCTGCAAAACTTACATCATATTAATTGTATAGAATTTCAATTGTTTTTGCGCAATGAAAGTATGTGCAAAAATAAATAAGAACATTGTTTAATATGTGACGAAAATGATAAAGAAATTTTTAAAAATTTAAAAATCTCAAGCTGTCAGTTAGCGTGATATTTGTCTAATCCAAAAATTCCGTAGCTTACCGAAAGTGTGGATGTTCTGAACAATTTTGAAGGACATTGCTGTGCCTTCACATTTGAATTCAGAAGCTTAAGAATATCGGAAAAGTTTGCAGAAGGATTTATATATGTGTGGTTATCTACATATGCGTGGTTAGTTTCCGCTAAATATGATAAAACAAACACACCTTTACATATATACGAGAAATACGACAAAGGTAGCGTGATTGGTCAGTGACGATCGTCTCTGCGTTATCGACTTCTGCGTCCGAGTTCGTCATCGACACTCCTTTATAAAGGGACAAATTTTGTTTCTTTATAATCTCTTAGTTATTTATTTTCTTATCGACGTATTTAATATGCATATGCCAAATATATATTATATTTATACATCTAAAGAAATATACATGACGTATATATCGTTGCTTGTATTCCGGCGTTCTCCACACGGAAAAAAAGGTTTGGTTGAATTAACCAAATATCTGGTCGAATATGAACAATTCAGAAATTCCGATTGAAGTAACCCGAATTCTGTTTAAGTCAACTAAACATCTTGTTAACTTAAATAGAATTCGGAATTTTAATCGGAATTTCTGGATCGTTCATAATCGACCAGATATTTGGTTAATTCAACCAAACCTTTTTTTCCGTGCATTTTACGTCAGAAAAATACATACTACACGCAAGTAAATATTATTTGTTCCAAGTATTTCAAGTTTGTATATCTGCAAATCTATCACAGGTTCATCATAATTATCAGATTTATTACAAGTACATTTTGAATCTTAATGAGTTCAGCATTTTACAATCAAGAGCATCAAGTTGAAAGAAAAATTTGGCTTGCTCACTACTACTCCATAGAGTCGAAGCAACTTTTTCTCCGATTTCATCATATTCTTGTAAAGAGAATAGATTTTTCTTTCCTAAAATTCATAATGAACATATTAAGACCGTTGTCAGGAAACTATTCTTTGTTGAAGATAATCATTAGTCGAATAAACGAAAACGAACGCATATCATTTTTCTTGGTAAAATAATATTTTTCTGTGTGTTAGCTTTCCGATCTAGTATTTTGCTCTTGACGGCGCTATCGTGGCATTCCGGATACTATCTGACAGTATTAACACTCGTGCAAATACAATTTTATCGAAGAAAGACGTGTTAATTGACGTGCTGAAAGTTCGATTGAGTATTTCGAGAGATCTATCTTGAGTAAGACGTAACACTCGAGAGAAGTGTGAGACGCGCGAGAATATCAAAACAATAGGACAAAATGAGTAAACTCATACTCTACCGTTAGTCGTCGACACAACAATCGTCGTTTGTCACTGCCGAGCGATCATAAAAACAATCAAAACATCCCGGATCGTTAAGGCGGTTAAACACTTTCTCGCGCGTTGCGTGCTTCTCCGTGTTTATTATGTCTCGAACCAGCGAGCGACACGTACATCGGTCCTTTATTTTTCATTCCTCTCGGGTGATAAAAGTATCTCGTCGGGTATTCTGAAATATTTAACGGGACCTTCGTCGGTAGTGCGTTATCTAACACGTGTATTTTTGATCGAATCGTACCTACGCGAGTATCAATGTCAGTGCCACGATGGAACTGCCGGGGTGTTGGATCGAGAAGCAAGACGTCGGAACGAGAGCAGCGATACACCATGAATTTTCAGGTATGTAAAATCATTTATTACACAGGAAATTCCCGTTTGTATCGGGTGTTTGGCGAATTTATTCAGAACAAAGAGATCCGAATTTAGGTTATCTCATTTAATAAATCATTGTAATCTCACACAAATCTGCAACCTGTATCTACAATTGTTATATGACAGATAACGATTCATATAACAGAAAACTTGATCAAATAGTCGAGTAATGACTCGTGTATACGAATCTGTAATTAATTATGCTTTCGATGAAAAAAGTTATTTTGTAAATACGGATACCTATTGTCTTGCAAAACTGAAATCGATTTCTCTGATGATACCCGCTAGCACGCGATTCATCTTGAACTTGTTATTGCTGTTTGTAGAACTTTGTTATCACGATACTTCCTTTTCAGCTCTTAAATGCTCAGATCCTATTAAAATTTCAAACGTTAATTAGATGAATAATGACGAAAAGGTCATGAGAACAGAAAGTTACGTTGTTTATCTCTCAATCGCATTATTTATCCACGTTAATTACTCAATATCCGTTTATATTGCACATATGCTATATCTACACTTGAGTAGTTTATATGGTTGACAACGTTACGATTACTTATAGAAATTAAAAATAGATTAAATACAGATAGATTAATTGAAATATAAAAAGAGGTATAGAGGATATTGAGGAATATAACGTAAAAATATTAAATAATTAGTGAATTCACTTGCAGTGAATTTTTCTTCATGCTTCAACCGTGTGGTCGAATAATCAGCTGGTGGAGGAAACTATGTGCTCCAGCTGCCTTGCATAACGCGTCACGCGCTGGAACGCGTTCCGATTTCCGGCTACGGGTAGGATCCATTTGACGCTGCAAATGCTCCGAAGCGCCCTGTGGACCAGTTTTTCTTCGCACGCTCCAAAGCGTTTGCAGCCCCAAACGGATTCCACGCTATGACAGCTGTCGACCACGCGGTCGTCGATCTCGCTGACGCGTGCGCAGTGCGACTTTAAAGCGCCGTGACTTACGTGCTAGCGGTTCGACGATACCGAGCGTGCCGAAACTTTAAAGAGCTACAACTCGTGAGTGAATTCACGTAGAGACATGAAACGAAAACCAATCTTTTGGGCACGCGTCTGTCGTTTTTTGCCGATTCAGAGGGCAATTGTCAGGTGTACGTTGTGGTAAATTGATTTAGTGATTCGTTCGCAGCTTAAAACGTGAAATCGACGCGATCAGTCGATATATTAATTTCGTGAGCTCCCTCTACGATACCCCTCTCGTTCGGTCTCACAGGTGCTCTCATTCTCTCTTTCTCTCACAAGGGGAGTAAACGCTATCCGCTGACTCAGATATTATACAATTATGCTAATGCAATGTGTGTGAAAGCGCTGTTATTACAACTGAGCAAACATTTCAACTGAGCCTCGTGTCTGAGCGTAATTGAAGCTATCTTGCGAATTGTCCGATCTTCGTGAGCAATTTATCAGATGTAATATTCTAGATGAAAGCCCGGATATGTGGGGAAAAATTATTAGAGCTCTTTTGTCGGGTACACGCAATTTCGCTGACACGCTTCGGGCGCGATTAAACAACAACACGTCAGGGCGCGCGGTCTAAGCATCGTCGGCCGAGCAAGCGCCTTTACTTTCGCGGTTCTATTGAAGGGAACGCTCGGGACTCTTGTGTTTGAAATCTGAGCGAGGCACTTTGCGCGGAGGTGGAATTCTATGCGGCAGTTCGCATCCGGTGCACACAGTCGTCGCGTCGAGAACCACTTGACGAGTTTCGAAGACTTGATCGAGAGAATCTCTAACTCCTCTCTTTCTCCTCCTTCTCTCTCTCTCTCTCTCTCTCTCTGTCTCATACGCGCGAAAACTTGCCGCGGACCGAATTGTCAGACCTGGTGGAATATTGTACAGCGGTACAAACCGTGTTTTCTCTGTTTACCGATGTCGTGACACTGCGCGTTGGGGAATTCCGCGCGCGCGTTTCCAGGGGCTCGGAAACGCATGTTCGTGAGATTGATTAATTGCTAGCTAACTAACTAACTAACACAGCGCGCGCAGTATCGTGTCGTTTTCGCTCCGACCAGTCATATGCGCGGGATCTGTATATCGGGCGGGAAATTTAAAGCGGAGCGGAAATAGAGCCAAAATGGCGAAAAACAGCAGGGGAGGCAGCGACTTCGTCGGACGAGCCTTCAGGTTCACGGTCGTCGAAGGGTCTCGACAACGCGAAGTCGAGCAACGATATTACGCGATCCACCGAGACGAAATGGTCGTCGGTATTGGCTCTCATGTCGATCGCTCTTGCGCAGCGCTCGATCACGATCCACGACGGATTTACCGAGGTCCTCGAGGACTCGAGTACGCGCGAGAGACTGTACGGAAAGCAGGGGTGGTCCAACTTGGCAGTTTTGTCCGCGATTCGTTCGCTTTCGTCGCATGCTCACCTTCGTAATTTGTTCTCGCGCTCGCTCGCTCGCTTTTCATTTTCGCTGCCTGCGCCTCGTACGATCCGGCTGGTCAATCGATCAATCGATCGACCCTCTACCACCGACCGACTGAATAAGCAACGCGTCGGATCTTTCTCTTTCAATCTCTCTCTCTTTCTCTCTCTCTCTCTCTCTCTCTCTCTCTCTCTCTCTCTCTCTTGCGCTTGTATGCATCCCGCGTGCGCGACCACGTAGTATATATATATATATATATAGCATTCGACACGCGGCGTATGTATGAGCGTGTGTATATGTGTGTGTGTGTAGGTTAGTGTATATGGTGCGACACATGGTGCACAACACGCGGAAGTGTGAAAATATCCGTCGGGTTTCGCGAGGGTGCACAGGGGCGGGGATCGCTCTCATCTGCGGTAACGTGAGCTTCGCGAGTGCGAGATAGGGGGAGTTTTCTAAACGGGAGTACGTGGAAAAATATATCGAGCGAGGAGGGTCGATCGCGCGATCGTCGACGGTGCTCGTCCGTTTACCACGCGCGGCTCTCGCCTTGCGGAGGAACGCGGCTGAATCGCGCGCGCGGCTCGGCCGCGGATCGCGGGCGACGAATATCGTCCCCCTGCGGTCGAGGCGACGACGGTGACGCGTCACCCCCGCGCCTCGGTAGAAGCGAAGAGAGAGAGAGGAGCCCCACCCCCTGGGGCCCCCTCGTCCATTGGTCACGGCGCCGCGTGTGTGCGCGTTTTTTTTTTCCCACCCTGTCGATCGTCCAGGCCGCACTAGACTTTCCCACACAGTTTTGAGAAGAAGATTGAACACCCCTGACTCGAGTTTTTCTATTTGGCAGTTATTTTAAAGTCCGTCTCGGCTCCCCACGAGAGACCCTCAACAGATCGCGGCGTTTGCGTTACGACTCGGTCGTAACGCGCGTGCTCGCGCTCGCGCGCGCCAGCGCGCAAAGCGACTAACAGTAATTACCGTTAATTATTATTCTCATTATTATAAGAAATATTATCGTTATTGTTACTATTATCGAAAGGCCGCAACAACGCTCTTCCGAGGACTGCGCGATCTCGCTCCTCGTAATACGCCATCTCGGACCCGTCGCCTTCTCCATCTCATCGTGCGTGCTAAGCCGCGAGGTCGTATCGATCGTCGAGACGTGCTGATAGTATCGCTCGTGTTCTGACTCGACCGCCGGGGACCAAGTCGAACGGACGATCGCGTCGTCTCGCGACGGAAGCTCCACGGTGGTCGTTGTGGAACGCGAGCGGAACCGATCCGGAAGATCGAGCGATCCGCGGACACGCGACGGACACACTCTCTCTCTCTCTCGGCAACGTGTCCTCGCCACCCACACCTACCTTCGTTTACGATCTAGAGGCAGGCACCCTCTAAATCTCCGTCCAGTTCGCGTCGCGCGTCGACCTACGACCCGGTTACCGCACTAGAAACGTAATTAAGTCACTTTAACGAAAGAACGCAGTCGCAACGGAGCGTGACGTCGGCGATCGGATCTCCTTGTTCCCTTCTCTCGTCTCGTCCTCTCGAATCCGGGGGAGCGTTTTCTCCGGGCCAGAAAGACGAGACGCGCGTTTGCCGCCGTCGCCGCCGCCGCCGCCGCCGCCGCCGGAAGTTCATCCTCCCCGTCGGTTTCCCCTTCGTGAACGTCGTCTCGGGGGTCTCGCTCCTACTCGCCTTGTTGATCGCCTAACTGTGAAAAGCAGCACGTCGCGAAAGAACCTGGGGCGCGCAGCCCGACGGCGGTTCCCAGCGTGTAAGCGAGTGATCCGAGAACCCGAGAACGCCCCCGCGTGTCTCCCGGGGCTGAGTCGCGCGCGGAAGGGCGCGAAAGGGGGGCTAAACGAGTCCGTCTGTCTTTCCGCGCTTTCCCGTCACTTCGACGCGCTCCGTAGCTGCCTCCTCGAATCGCATTGGACATCGTTCCTGCGAAGAAGAGGGAAGCAAGCGCGAGTATAACGCGGCATGTCTGACTGGTGGTCGCTGGGGGTCGCTTTCGGGAAGCAGAGTTTCGTTGAACGCGCAGAATTTCAATTGATCACCTTACGCGAGCATTCTTCGCTCTTTAAATTTCTTGGAAGTAAAATGCATTTGCTATGAGATACTCTGTATAATTAATGAACATGTAAAATAATAAGTTTTGTATCTTTATAATCTCCTTATAATTATATATATTCTTTTTTTCATTAGCCTTGTGGAAATGTATGCAGAAGTACAGTTTCAAAGAACAGCGTAATAATAGTTAGAGAATTTCCCATCTAATAGCAAGTATTTTTTGCCATAATATCGAAGATCAAATACTCAATAAATTTAGTATATTAACTGTGTCTGTTTCGATGACATGTCTTAGCTGCCACATCTACATATTTTTAGCTTCTATGTGTGTGTTTATGTGCAGCTAATATTCGGTTAAAATGGCTAATCTTCTTGCCGCGTGCTATCACTTTTCACTGGTTTGGAGTGAAATTTTGTTCCAAGAAATTTAGAGAGTGTCCTTTTAGGTAGGATTTTTCATTTCGGATTTTTCATTCGTTCCAAAGACAGAGATATTTTATCTCCGCCCCGTGCTATTGGAATCTTGAGAGTTTCGCGTTTGCACAGAGCGTTTGTTTTCGCTACAAATACGGCAATTACATTAATTTATGACCCTTGTTAGCAGAACGTATGATCTCGCGAAGAGTTGCGAAAGATAATTAATATCGGTTGACTCGAGCGCGAGGCTCGCTGTGTTACACTTCTTTTCTACAAGGATTGTTGTAAACGCACGATAAACATCGTTTGCTCGCTAATCCGACTTAATTTGTAATTATTGCGCCGCGCGAAGTCAATTTTCGATAATGAACGAGTGTCCGATTACTTGAAATCGAGTAATCGAGCGATCGTGCGTCCGGTTTAATACGTAAATAATAACGCGAGAGTCCGTTCTGTAGATAGACGATCGGCAATTAACGCGACGGTGATAGCAGAGAATGAGGGACGTTCGCGTTCGGCGCGATTGTACAACGCGGCGAAGCTCCAGCGAGCCAAACTTGTTACACGGTGTTTGTTGACATTTCCATGCGCTATTAACTTGGTTATGGTTGTCTGGTCTGCGCGTCATTCGCGCGTAATGATCGCAGACTCCGTGGACCGGTCCGCGAATTTACATGGCGATTTCGAATGTTGATTTCGCGAATGCGCACGGCTAATCGCGCGCGATTCAGCGAATCTCCGGCTCCCGTAAGCGGGAAAAGCGACGATATATTTTCGGCGCGGTCACACAGGGACAGGGACAGGGCATCATTGTATGGCGAAAGACGGGTCGTTCGAGTAACTCACCAAATTCCAGGAGGCGCTATCCCTGGCATCTTTTGTGCATTTTTTCGGTGGCTCGACCGGGGCAGTCTATTACTGGACGATTATGTGTGGCGCACGAAGTAGTATCACCACCGTAGCCAAAAGCGTGAATATCGTGAAGACGAACAGGCAAACCCTTGATTTCGCAGGGGAAAAAAATACGAGCATTAGTTGTACGAGTTCGGATTTTCTCAGGACGGGTGAAGAAGAGGGGAGAAAGGTTGAGAAATTAAGTAATGTAGATAGGGCATACATATAGGTACTCGGTAAGCAGCGTTGAGCAATGATGTCAAATACAATTTTTTTGGCCAAAATATTCTACTAACTAATAATGAAAATTGATCAAACGTTATACATAAAATCACAAACAATTTCACCGATTGATGAAATTAATTATTAATTAAACTTTAATGTGATTATACACTGATTAATAAATAATCAATGAGGTCAATCGATTAAATTACTCGTGATTACGTATATGATGGTTCATTACTTTTGATTATTAATTTGTTAATTACTTTAGTCAAAGACTATTTTAATGGAATATTGCTCAACACTGTTGGTGCACCAAAAAAAAAAAATTAATTTTATCCTTAGCAAAGTTCTCTTATATACGGCTCCAGGAGGAAAATATTCTAAGCACAATATTCTTAAAGTTAGAGAAGTTTTGTCTACAGTACAAATATTATTCTTAATAGAAGTTTTTTGTAGTAAGAAGACATTCTGTTTCAAGTAAGTAGTTTCCTCTTAATTAAGGAGAAAAAAAGATAGAATAATATCCAGTAGATGTCCAGTAGATTAATATTCTTTATTAGAAGAGGAATATTCTTTTGGTAAAAGTTGTTGCTTAGAACGTGGAATTACAAAAAATAACACTTTGCAATTAGAGTCTTTTTGTTGAATATATTATAATATTTTCCTTTTCAGAGTCAGAGGTCGACGTACCCGAGAGCAGACATACTCGGGATTGTTGAGTATATTAATTTACAAGTAAACCTACCCAAAAAGTACGCTCCGGTTTCTTTCTAATTTGGCACAAATGTAGAAGTACAAAAAATATTCAGATCATATTTTTTCATTTTGGCCCACTTTGAGCTTCACGGCCAATTTATAGCTTTTTAATGTTCTTACTCTTATCATCAACAAGTAAAAATGCACGAGAAATAAAATTGAATACAAGATATAGTTAAATGATTTAACAAAATCGGCATAACTGAGACACGAACCATCCTAAATTTTTTAATCGAGATTCCACCTGAAATATTTCAAATTATTGCTAAATTAGTCAAAAAATGGTTCAAATCTCAGCCAAACCGAGAAATTATTTGTATAAATAATTTTTTTTTAACTTTTTAACCGTTTTTAACCGTTAAATGGCTTTTTAGCCGTTTTAAACATTTTATTATTCATACAAATAGTTTTACACATTTGGCTTCATATTTATAATCAGCAAACCAAAAACGCAAAAATTGTATTCAATTTTATTTTTTATGTATTTTTGTTGCACATGTTAATGATGAAAGTGCGAATATTAAAAAGCTGTAAACCGCCCTTGAAACTCAAAGTAGGTCAAAATGCAACAATATGACCTGAATATTTTTTATACTTCTACATTTGCGCCAAATTAGAAAGAAACCGGAGTGTAACTTTTAGGTAAGTTTACTTGTTAGAATTGTCAGAATTATTCGGCTAATTAATTTCAAGTAGTCGATTTCTCTCGTCGAACGAGATTATTTCACGCAAATGAAGTTGATCGACACGTAAATTCAAGTATACATCTTTAATATTAGCGATCGCCGAGTAAATGAATGCCAATTGACATAGTTGCACGATGCATATTCGGCTAGAATTAACTCTCGTTGCAAGCGAATCCATTATGCAATCGTTCGCAATTTATTTATCTGGCGAGATATGCCGAGCCGGGCGCGCATATATAAATGCCGGACGAGTTTCGCCCTGTGCGATAAAGAGTCTCCCTAGCGAGAGAGCTAGTTATTCTCTCTCTTTGTCTGTGATCTTCCGCGGGTCAAACTATATAAAAGATTTAAAACATCCAACCTGTCGACTACCATGGCGGCGAACTTCCAGTCGCTAATGACCTCGTCGTCCTCGTCCGCCTTTTTCATGCGGTTCGTGATGAACTGCAATTCCTTGAGAATCGTGTGAAGTTCCTTCTGCATGCCGCTGAGGGGCAACGATGCTGAAGTCTCTTCGACCGTCGCCGGTCTGGTCGACAGCGGAGTGCCGTACGCCGACCTGCTGTAAGAGATCGTGTAAAATATTACTCTCGAAGGTGTTTCACGTCTTTCCCCTCCTTTGCTTTCTCTCTATCTTTCTCTCAAAAGGAGGGTGTCGATAGAAATTTTCACGTATCGCCGGAGAACTCCGAGAAATTCCGGCACTTCTCTTAGTGTCGCGTAATAGCCGTTTAAATGGTTGAAATAGCCCGGAGTTCTCTCTAGACTCGATATTAAACGATTATGAGACGATGATGAGGCGAACATTTCTTGTCCTATGATTCTGGAGACTCCAAAAACCAAAAAAGCCTCGACTCTTCACATTTATCCTCAATTCGTCAACACGGAGAAAATTTTATAGTAAAAATTACTATAAAATCTCGTCACCGAGTAATATTTATACTTTAGAGTTGCATTTCAAAATTTTTTTGAGGAAAATTTTACTCAATACTCTATAGTTCATGTTACATATATTATAGAGTATCGAGTAAAATTTTCCTAAAAAAGAACGTTTTGGAATGCAACCTAGGAACCGAAATGCATTGCAAAAAGATTTGCCATGTTCTCAGTGAAATTTGCTGTTTTTGAGCAAAATGCATCTTACTGACAGCCTCTATTTCTGCACTATTAGAAACACACTGAAAGAAATTACACGAAGAAAAATTAACAAACGGATATTTTTAATCAAAATACCGATAAATTTTTGTATCCGATCAGGAAACATTCGATGAGAAATATCGGTTTATAATTTTTTGATTCGATAGAATGCCGTTATGATAGGAAATATCCGATTAAGATTAATTGGATATCCTGATCGGATATAAAAATTCATTGCTATTTTGATCGGAAATATCCGTCTGTTAATTTTTTATCGGATAATTTCTCTCAGTGCATAATAAAATTGAAAAGAATTTACATTGAAGAGAAGGAGCTATATTCTTTTTACATCGCGAATGACCTTTACGTATTACTAATTAGAAAGACTGTTCTTTTTCTGTTTCAGATTTGGCCGAGCAACCGCAGGATAGATGCAGGCGCGGAGGACGCAGTTCCGGCGGATGCAGATGCAGTACCGGAGGATCCGGTTCGGGCAGAGCGGGATCGGCTCGAAGGTAGGTCCATGTGCCTGCTGCACTTCTCTGTTTAAGCGTTCGCGCTCGAAAGCCGAGATAGCGAGCCGTCGGAACGACTCGAATTACGACCGCGAACGGTTAATCCACCCGTGTATCTCTACGCGCACTCGTTCGTTACGTCAAGTCCGTAAATCTAATCGGCGAAATGATATTTTCTGTTCTAGATCCGGGGTAGCGGAATGTGGCCGACTTCGAGCTGCAGGTGCTCGGTGAGTAAGAAATATGAGAGAGACTTTAGGTGGTGGGTTTATATAAGTGTTTGTAGAATTTCTCGTTGGGATCGATTTACTTTGCTTTGTAGACTTTTCGTGTGTGTGTCCTGTCGACACATTGCTCGAAACAATTGAAGGTTCAATAATTATTAAAGGCTTTTGGATGCAAAAAGACTCGAGTCAATAAGAATTAACGTAGGGAAAATTTACTTTGCTATTGCTGAACCATTCTTCTCTACTTTTTGACTGTAATATTACTCCGATCTCATGAAATGGAACTCAGGAAACAGTGTCTATGCTCTAAGATGACCATTTCGTGATTTCGTACATTCACTGTTCCTCTCAAGATAAATACTAAGAAAAAAGCAACATATATACTTTTGGAACTATTTAGTCTCCCTCTACTGTCTATAATAAATATTTTAAATATTAAGTATGGTTTATTCAATATTTAACATTATAATTTTTCACAAATCTATATATATATATATATATATCAAATTATAATATCAAATCTATATATATATATATATATATATATATATATATATATATATATAATTTGTGAAAATGATATACTTTAGTTATATTTATTCTTGAATTTGATTTTCAAATTGCATTTTCAAATTGTGCAATTCAAATTATTAACAGAACCATTCATTCGTGATCGCCACTCATGCGACTCTAATCGTTTCGAACGATGTACAATGCGCATCAAAATTGCGCCCCTTCCTTCCCTTCGTATGTGAAATTCGTGATTATTTCACTCGCGTTATTAGATTTCGCGACGGCGAGTATTAGTTTCCTATATTTTCCACATACCGAATTTGCGATTACAAACAGATATACGCATATCAATTAAATTCACCACGAAATATTACAATACAATCCGCTGTAACGATTTTGCGTGCATAACGATCAGTTTTTCCGTGGGGGAAAAGTTTATCGCGCGATTTTCAGTTACAGTTTTGGTTACTTACGTGTCACGACTTTATTCATATCGTTATTATTATTATTTTTTTCACAAATTAAATTCGTGGAAGTGTTGCGGAAGTGAAACTGTCGCGAGGTAATCTTCGCGTGACAAAGTTGTCTTGCGTGAGAGATTTCGCACCGCTCGCGTTGTTAGATGATGCTGCGTTAGAGCGATCGCGGGCATCAGTTTCCCAGATTTCCCATGCGCGCATTTAAGTTGCGTTTCGCAACAGATGCGCACCCCGCCGAATTAAATTCGGTGGAAGGTATCGCGGAGATGAGCTCCGCTCAAGCATCACGGAACAATCCGCTACGACGATTTCGGGTTACTTTCTTCCGCGGACGCGTTTATTTCGTGATCTTCGCAATTTTTAATTTAAAAATTTCATGTCGATGTTTACGCGATTCATTCCTTTTACAAACAAATTGAGCTCACGAGAACATGCTAGAAGAAGAGAAGTGTCGCGGATCGTCGCTGAGTATCGCGGAGTCATCGTGCGTGAGATTTCACGCCGCTCATCGCGTATCGCGTTAGTGGATTTTTCACGACCAGCGAATCGAAGTAATTTATAAGTAATAGATTCCATCGCGAGATAAATGAGAACTCTTTACCGATATCGCCGTTGTTAATTCGTCGAAAACGCCGCTGAAACGTGAACATTAATCGCGTCGTGTGCAATAAAGTGTAAAGGCAAACAACGCAGGACGAAGGCTGAGCCTCGGAATGCGACGCAAGATGTTCGCAGGATGACTCGGAATGTAGCGGCGGGATGTTTCATCGATGGATTCGTCGGCGGATTCCGATGTGAGTTGCTGAATTACAACACTCATACATTGAGTGATCTTACGATATCATAATGCATGCTGTAAATCACATTGATTCCCAACGAGAAATATAGGTAGTCCTATACTGCTAAAGGGGATGCTGGAATGGACGACGAATTTGAAAAATGTTGATAACCGAATGATCTATTAAGTTGATACTGACTATATGTTGAGCATATTTTGATATTTTCAGAATATTTCAGATTTAAAGATATTAAAAGTGCACGTTCCAATAATTTACGAATAGTGAAGGTGCAATGTTCTAACGAATATTTGAGAATATTTCTATATTTTGAGGATATTTCTCAATATTTTGGGGATATTCCGATATTTTATGAATATTTAGATATCTTGAAAATATTTCGATATTTCAGGATATTTATTAGGATATTTAAAATACGTGTTTCGATAATTTACGGATAGTACGATGTTCTAGCGAATATTATGATTCACCGCTTATCAAACTCTAATCAAACTCCAGAATTCGTGATTGAAGTATCATACTGTAATCTCGGGTAGGCAATGCAATACATAAACAATTAGCTCCCCTTCTTCAATACTACACTCCGCCGATATGATTCTTGGTTTCCAAAGCCGATATTTCCAGGATATTTCGAATTTTAAGGATAACTTCGAGTCTCGGGATATTAAAAGCGCGGACTCGAATAATTTGCGGATATACTGAAAGCACGATGTTTCATCGGATATTGCGATTTTCCGCTCGCGGAATCGAACTTCAGGATCCGCGATTGAAGTATCACGCCGTAATTTCGGCCGGGCAATGCATAAACGATTAGCTCTCCTTCTTCGTCCGATAACACGCTCGCCCGATATGATTCTTCGACCCAAAGCCGAGAACGGGAACAACCCTTAGCGTCCCTCTTCAATAATTCGGCCGGAATCCGAGCGTGTCGGAATTCCCCTTGCGAATCCATCTCCCTCGCCCGTGCGCACCCGAATCGCGGCGATATGCCACGGATCTTCGTTTCCATTATCGAGTTCGCGTAGCGACGTGACAGATGGGGAAGGAAACGGATTGCTCCCGGCAAAAATCACCCGGGGGCAAACCAGAAGCGATTATCGAAGGGACGAATGAAAAACCGAACGGACGGATTATTTTGTTAACCATCGGCGAGAACCGGCGGAGGCATGAAAAATAAAAAAAAGAAAAAGAGAAAATAGGACAGAAAAAACCGCAAGAGTGGTCGGGACGGGAATCCAGAGAGAGAGAGAGAGAGAGAGAGAGAGAGAGAGAGAGAGAGAGAGAGAGAGAGAGAG